CCAAGGTCCAAACGCTGGCCCCGAATTTTTCCCCACCGGTTTCCTGGGTCCTACTTGCGCGTCCCTAGTTAGACTTCTAGGGTTTTATTGTGTATGTAATAGGCATATGACTCTATCTATATACCTAACTTAAATACCTGTATATCTATCATTACATGTTCCTACAGCGGGAAGCCCCGCCAGCCGAGGCGGGCACGCGCTAGCGTTTACAATTATTGGGTACTTGGACCCTCTGGGGAATGAGATGCGTCAAAAACGGGAGAATCAAGAGATGTAGAGCTTAGGTTCCGTTTGTTGTCCATTTGGGGGTTTCCCAAAATTAGGGGTACCTTCTTTGGGGTCCTCATAATAAGGATTATAGTATATTAGGGTCTATATTGGGGCCCCCTTATTTTGGGAAACTATCATTTCTAGCTCTCGAAGTCTAGGGCTCCGCATGGTTTTGTGGGGGCTTAGGTTTACGACCATAAGGCTTTTAAGGTTTAGGGTTTAGGATTTAGTCTCCCTCCAAGAAAGTGCATGCATTAAGGCTCTAGGATCCATGGTTTAGGTTGGACTGTTAGGATGCATGGTGATCATATGGGGTGCTAATTAGTGCAGGGGATCCCCCCGCCCCTCAACAAAATGGGGTCCCTAATTAATATAAGGGGGTGCGGGGCCCTCGCAATACCAATCTGGATCCTAGGTTTAAATTCAATTCAGTAGGAAGGATCAGGATCGGCTTGGTAATAGCTCAGACGGTTTTAGGAGGCATTTAGAAGGGTTTCTACTGAATCATTTTCATTTTTCTTCGGACGCGCGACTTAGAACAATTGAATAATTTCGGCGAGACTTCTCACAACTAAGGGCCCCCACAGTAATCGGGATCCAACATAAATGGGTTTGCACGGGGCAGTAAGGAGAAACCCTAAACCTCAAGCCCTACACCCCTTGCTCTGAAGCCCGAACTCTAAACGCTAAACAAGCTTACCTTCTGCGCCGAGCCTTATAAGCTCATGATGTTCAGGGTTTAGGGCAAGGCGCCCAAGGTTTATAGGGCTTAGGGTTTGGGGCCTACAGCATTCAGCATAAGGTTAACAACGTTGTGAGGTGTGTTGCTTGCAGCTACGGGCCCGAAGAAGAGCTACCATTCGGGGTCCGGAGTGCTAGTCTAGATCCCCTAGTCACCTCCCCCTACTAAGAAACCTCCTGCCCCCTAAGAATAGTGCGACGCGCAATTTCAGACCCCTATATAAGGGGGGAATATCTTTTTTCTAGGGGGTGGGCCGGTTTATTACTGTTCTTGCTATTCTTGTTCAGGGCTGGGAACTAATACACGCCCATGGGACCCTCGCATGCAATGCTTGAGTCGACCGCCGCAGGGCTTCGAATTTGTAGCCACAAGCTCAAAAGAGACGAATACTTTCTACGGTCACGTGGGAATTAACAGTAAATTTGCTAGAAAAGAGAGCTCCAGTTCATCATCAATTAAGCAAGAAAGGTACTATCTGAGATGCACGCTTCAATGCCGGCGTTCGGGTGCCCCGCTTGGAGGGTGTGTGAGACGACACATAATATGCCGCCCCTCAAACTCACAAGCCTTACTCAGCCCCAAATGCTCCCCGCAATCAATCCCTAAGAAAACCGTAGTTTGTCGGGGGCCCATATACTTGGGGTGGTGAGAGCCATAGTAGCGCCATGAATGTTGGATGTTGTGCAAATAACCCCACACCAATGGTGGTGGAGGCCGAAACTCTTGCGCTCGAGATGACCAGAAAGTGCCAGAAACTTGAACCTAAAACCCTTCACCGCGTTTGAGGTTGAGGGCTTAATTAAGGTCTGCCTGGAAGAGACCCCTGATTTCCAGAAATCCAAAAAAAGGATTCAGGTAATCCTATAAGCCCCTAAACTCTAATTCCCTTAAGCCCTAAGCCCTATAAACCCTATAAACCCCATACACCCTATAAACCCTATGGAACCGTACAAACCCTATGAACCCTATAAACTCTATGAACCCGAAACCCCAAATACAGGGTTTCAAAAGTCGAGTCACAGGATGCCCATCCATCCTTCAAAGCAGCCGTCGCGATAGCGTCGGATTGCGTCAGGACTGGCAGTCAGGGTTTAGGATTTAGGGTTTCGGGTTTAGGGGTACTGTAAGGGGGGAATGGGGTATATAGGGTTTAGGGCTTAACTCGATAGGAGGGGATAAAGAACATGGGACATTAAAAACAAATTGGGTTTCTGTATGGATTTCAGCGCTTGGATGTATGGCCTAACGAATGAAAACAGGAGGTAGAATCCTACACACACCCTAATCCCTAAACCGTTTGGCTATACTTCATGGGCGCCGCTTGCGGCCAAATACTGTGGTGATGACTCTGAAGACCCAAGAGGAATTGCAACATGGGTGTAGGGTTTAGTGTTACGGGCCTACATTTTGACTAGAATAAGCTAAGTGGAGATACTACCAGAGGCAGCAACAAGAATACAATCTGTGACAGTAAGAGGAACTTGTGCGGACCTAGCCGCTATCCAGAAGAGGCTTAGCAACCACACAGGGCAGATTCCAATAAAATGGGGCACCCCTCCGAACTGGCAAGTCGTATGAGGGCTTCCAAAAATTAGGAATACCTTTTGCGGGTCCCCAGAATAGGGATTATAGAATATTGGGGTCTATACTGGGTCCCCTCATTTTGGGTAAACTACCATCTATGGGACTGCAAGGAGGTTCTGGAAATTTCCCTCTCGTGGATTGTGGGGGCTGACTTAGAAGAAAGAATAGCCCTAAACCCGAAACCTTAAACCGTGTGCCCATTTTTAACCCATAGAGTCCCCTAGATCGCACACCCCAAATCCTGGGTTGCTGATCAGGAACTGAAATTAAGTTATCTCATTATGGGTATAAAGTACATGGCAAGGCTTTTTTACTGCCGTAACTTTTTCAAGTTCCTTAACATCAGGGAGCTCAAAAAGGGGGATGAAGGTAGGTGGGTTAAAGGATCCTTAGTATATACTCTACTATATTGGGGCTTACTTCCTATACCCCACCTTCCTTCATCCCACCTTCCGAGCCCTTTGATTAACAACAACCCAGAATGCCAGGCAGGAGCGTACCGAGATGGTTGGACAGTTGCACCTCACGCTTTTACGCCTCAAACATCTTTTCCCTACCTCAACCGTATACCCTGAACCTACCAAAAAACTGACGCCAAACCTTAAGCCCTATATACTAGAAACTTTGAAACATAAATCCCAACCCCCCCACACCCTATTTACCCCAAGCGTTGAACCCTCTGCTTTGAACCATAAATCCCAAACGCCTTAAACCTTATACCCGAATTTTTTTGAAAAATAAGCCCCAAACCCCAAAGATCCTACACGTACCGGACGCGATTAAGGATTTAGGGGTTGGCGTCTCGCCCAAGACGAGAAACGCCCTACACTCGGACCCAAATCCCTGCATACTAATATCCAGCGCCGTCCCCCAACACCCCTAATATAAAATATGATCCCCAAAATAGATGGTCTCTTACAGGGGGAGTACTTATTGCTATTTACTACTAGGGGGTGGGGAAGGGATTTAATGTTGGTATGAATACCCTAAACCCTACACCCCCTAAGGGTCCAAGTACCCAATAATCATATGCTTACCCAAAACCTGTACTACAATTCCTATTACCCAAAACCCAAATACCTAATTATTGGGTACTTGGACCCTCTGGGACCTAAACCCTAAACCCTAAACCCTAAACTGGTATATTCCGGGGCCCCGGGCCTCCTCTGTACACTGTCAAACCTGTAGCCATCGATGCGGTCTCGTAGGCACAGCTGCCTGTCAAAGTCCTACATATATGAGAATAAAAAGGCTTATATGAGGGTAGTAGGGTTTAGGGTCTAGGGTAGGGCTAGTATTGAGATCTACAGGGGTCAAAGAAGGATATCACCCCGATAGGGCTGAAAAAGAGGTTTGCATGTTGACTATGTAGTGTACTCGAAGAGTGCATGCGCGCATATAATGAACTTGGGGCCCCAGGGACTTCCCGTATAACTACTTTGGGGCAAGAGCTGTATAGCTACTGGGAGAGTCCCATAGTTAGGCATTCAAAGCCCTAAACCCACAACCATTTGTGCTTAGCGGTTTGCAAACAAATTCTCTAAATTAGGTCGAACAGCTAGGGCCTTCATCCGGGCTATACGTGCCCTAAATCTGAAACTCCAGACCGTGTTGTAAAATTATGGGCCTCTTGGGAGAGCCTACATGGTACTCGTCAGTGATCGTCTGGCCATGAACCCCCTATCTTTTTGGACCAAAAGATTGCACAAACACCTCTGGGTCCACAAAAAAACTTACCCTAGAGCCTAAACCCTCAAAACCTACGTCATAGCCTCCATTTTTCCTGGATACCCATAGAACCTCTGCAACATGCCTATATGGTAGTTCCCCTAAAAAAGCGGACCCCAATATAGACCCAAAAACAATATAATCCTTATTACAGGGACCACCAAAAATTATCCCTACTTATTTTTGAGCCCTAATCTCTAAACCCTAATCCCTAAACCCTATATATCCCCTTTCGTCCCTTTAAAGGTACCCCTAATTTTGGGAAACCTTCTTATAGCACTCTGTATGTGAGCTATAATTAGTCTATACTCCTACTATCCCCCTGTGTAATCCCGATGGAAGTCCCCTATGTAATCCCCTATATAACACCCTAATTTAAGGATTTTAGACCCTAAACCCTAGCCCTAGACCTTAAATCCTAAACCCTAAACCCTAAATTCTACACCCTAAACCCTAAATTCTAAACCCTAAACCCTAAGCTGCTCATATGGATTGGACTGAAGGCTCAGGATGTCGGGTTTCGAGCTGTGAGTTCCCGGTTTGTGGCCTTGGCTTATAAATGTCTGTAACATCTTCAAACTGAAATTTGGGGTTTAGGGTTAAGGGGTTCAGGATTTAGGGTTTAGGACATAGGGTTTAGGGTATAGGATTTGAGGTTTAGGATTTAGGGTTTGGGATTTAGGGTTTAGGTTTTAGGGTTTAGGGCCTTGAATCATGACGTTCCTTATGTGGAGAACCCCTGAAGGACCATTCATTCCTGGGAACTCTAACATGCATGTTTCTCAACGCGTGGGTACTCCCTTGCACCTGAAGGATAGAAATACGTGACGCCCCCCCAAAACTGAGGCCTTGCCAGCGCGAATGTGCAGATCCTTGGCATTTTGCGTTTTGGGCTGAGGGCTTTAGGTTTTGGGACCCCACTTTACCGGTTAGAGTTCAGGCTTTGGGGTGTGAGGGCTCAGGGCGTAAGCTTTCAGATCTCTGGGCTGGAATGCAGGCTAAGGTGAAAAAAACCACACAAACCTGTGTGTGATCCTGCTAACCAGCTCTACTTGGAGGGTCAGGGGGACTTAGTTCGTAGGTTACTAACTAAGATAAGTAAGGATACTATAATGGTCATAGGAGTTATTAACCCATAAGTTCCCCTGACACTCAGTAGTTCTCAATTTCCTTTCCATGATCAAATTCAAATAGGAACCTACTAACCCAGACCCCTGATTAATAAACCCCCTCCCCTTATTAGGGATTATAATAGAGATCCTCGTATTAAAGCCCTTAAAAGGAGGGGGTTGATTAATCATGGGTTTACGTTAACTAAGTCTCCCTGACCCTAAGATGTAGCAGTTGAAATCTCCTCCCATCGTCTCAACATAGGTGCGCAAGCCCACAGAAGAAAAGAAGCACCGAAATGTGAGGGTGGTTCCCAAAATTAGGGCTACCTTTTTTTTGGGGGGGGCCTAAATAAGCATCATAATTCGGGTTTATATTTAGGTCCCCCTATCTAGGGAAACTACCAAATCCACAATGGGAAATTCACGATGAGGATGCCCAAAGCCTTCCAACATCGCAGAATTGCAAGGACCCAGCCACCTAAATTGGACCCCGGCATAGGTTTTCAGGGTTTGGGGTCTAGTGTTTAGGGAGTAAGCTTCAACAACAATAGCTCTCATGCAAGTGCAAGACATGGACAAGTTAATCGGCCACAATAACCAGGACCGTCTTAGACAGCCCGAAAAGGTGAAATGTTACATGTGTATCTTTATTGTCTCTTTGTGCAAGGATAGAAGCTCATATGGTAGTTTCCCCAACTAAGGGGACCCCAATATAGACCCAACAATATTATAATCCTTGTTTTAGGGACCCCCAAAAAGGTACACCTAATTTTGGGGAACCCTCATATCTGCCAAAGCACAGAATGCCACAGACGCCAGGGAAGATATAGCGTCCGCAACTCGTGGCCAAAGCAGGAAATCGTGAGACACCTGTAGGCTCTTTGAGCAAAATTACCCTAAGGATCCAAGGCCCCATATACTAGGGTTTGAGGGCCCAGATACTATAATGCTAATGGTATTTGGGGCCTAAAGCCCTATTATTTGGGTCCTTGGACCCTTAGTGTTAGGTACTCCCATGTACAACCAGGTGCCTTTAATACAATGAAACCAAACAGCTCCATAGTTTTGGCGCATGTCTAACACAACCACATAAGATACTGTCACAAGCATTAGCTAGGAGTGTTGGCTGAAAACTTTTTAAAGGGCGGTTTAAGGTTCATAGGTTGGGTCATTCCCCCTCCCAGTAACTGTCCTTAAAGGGGCCTTATTGAGGGGGTTCTTATAACTCCTATAACCCTTTGTGGTAACAGTTACTGTAAGGGAGAATGACCCCATTCATAAGGTTTAGAGCTCCAGTTATCTTCTCAGAAGAGGCAAGCCACATCTTCACATCCAACATCTGGGGTACCGTCGTTTCGCGCCCTAAACCCTAAACCCTAATGCGTCTTACCCTAGCCACCAGGAGAACATGTAAATGGGGACCAGCCAGATATGCAGGGTTTAGGGTTTAGGGTTCAGGGGGGTAGTTTTTGTTAGATTAAAGGGGTCAGGGTTTAGGGTCAGGCCAAGTTTCAAACCAGAAGGTACATCAGCGACACAGAGCCGCTCGCGCGCGAACGGAGGAGAGCCTCGGGCTTTAGCTTTTTTGGGGGGGGCTAAAAACCCTTTGCCTAAAAGAACAAATCCTTTTGCCTCAGGCAGATGTTCACGTAACGTCTGTCTCATGTTGCTTCCGAAGCTCAGGAGAGATCTCAAAAAAGGGCTTCCTTTCATATATCTCCACCATGATACGCAAGGTTCACAGACCTCCATTACCTTTCTATATAGCGGCGACCTATCTGTTAATCTTTTTTGGGTAGTTTCACCACAGGGTTTTTTCCCAGGGGCAGTCCTTTCAGCTCCCCACAAGCCCGTGCCCAGGTACGGGTCGCTATGCATAGTAAAGGGTTGAGAGTTTAGCGTAACAGCGAAACCCTAAACCGCGTGCGTATGTGCCCCCAAAACCATGCAAAGCAACTCAGAAGCCATGGAATCTTATGGCATTCTGCAAAGGTGCCTGACACGAGGTAATCCAGTTGAAAGAAGAAGCCTTTGACATCTTGTGCTTCTCACCCATGTCCTCATATAGACCCCTAATCAGTAACCCGCCTCCCCTCAATAGGACTAAAATATGGATCCTAACATTCAAGCCCTTAAAAGGACGGGGTTATTAATCAGGGGTCTACATGACTGCGTTTGGCCTGGAAAGAAAACCATCCTTAAGCAAAAGCATACACAAAAAGATCTACTGCAGGTCTGCATGCCCAGCAGCCAGACTATCTTCCCAATAGCCTTGCTTCAGCGATGCCTCATCTGAAGTTGTCAAAACTTTTGGGCCAGTGGAGATGCCCCCCCTCCCCAAGAAGCGAAAAATGCATGGTTGCATGGTGACATCAGAGACGTCTGCCTTTCCTAAAAGGATTGACATGGAATGGAATCCCAAAAGTGACTTCATAAAGACTACTATCTCTGGCTTCTGAAAAGGGCACGGCATGGGTTTTATATTAGGTTGGGTACCATTTGCAAATTAAATAGGTTCCCGGAGTGATGTCTCTTTTGCATGCATGGTTGCTGGTAGGTAGAAGGGCTGAAGGAATAGCTTCTGGCGACTGAATACGTGGTTATGCAGCGATCACTGCAGGGCCTAACCCTCAGTAAGCAGGGTTTAGGGTTTAAATCGTATTGGGACTTGCTTCAGAAAAGCGGTTTAGGGTTTAGGCGGAATTGCTGCAGCAAAAGAAAGACACTCTGGACAGTGATGCTCAATTCATGTACTCTCCGTAATAATGAACCTCCCCACTGGGCTAATGTCGCATTTCAGAATGATGTTAAGGATGATGTTCTACCAGGGTCGGGTAGTACTAATGGAGTCGGGAGGTCATTCTGAGGGAGAGGGGATTTGATCAGGCCAAGCGATCCACAACAGGCAAACATGTTTGCTTGTTTGTTGAAACCCTAAACCCTAAGCCCTGCCTTTCTCGGCTGCCGCTACCCATAGCCGCTTCAACAACCTATACGGTTTCCTTATGGTTCTCATTTTGGCATGAACCCTCACCAAAAGCACAAGCAACGAACCACTAGCCTTTGTACACGAGTGAGGGGCGTGCTTCGTTGTCAGGGTTTAGGGTTTCGGGTTTAGGGATTGAGCTCCCGTTTTGGGGGCGCCGTGGGTGACCGTGCGATGTGTACACAGCTTGCAACCCAACATCCACCCTACCATCCAATCAACTCAGCTACCAGTTGCAAACATGAAGCCGCAATTTCTGAATCACGCCAAACTTTAAACTCTCACCCTAACATGGTATAGCTGCAAACGGTTAGAGGCAGCATGGTATGCACTCCTGGAGTTGGAGATTATCTTTCCTTAAGGCAGCTGAATTCATTTTCGTCCCGGAGCAAGTACTTTGATAGAACGGAGGTGCCCTGTTTACGCCCCGCAATACTGTGATCTGATTTTGATTTTTGGTACCTGCCGCATAAATAGGCTACATATGGGATGCAGCGCAGGGAGTCTTACCGCCACAGACTTGATAACTGGTATGCTTGATCATGATTACGGGCGTAAAACTTTTGCCAGTCAGCTGCTAAGCCCAAGATGTAATCCCACCCCCCAAACATCCCCAAACTAGCAAGGAACTGGTACAAGGACTACTGTCCCTCACTTTTTGGAAAGGGTTCTCAAATTGGTTCCACGTCAGCTTGTGGAAGAGCATGGGTTTGGGCTTGAAGTGATTCCTTCATACTAATGCTACCCATAAGGGTAGTCGTGTGTGTGTGTGTATATGTATATATGTATATTGGGGGGACATATTTAGCATTTTGGGTGGGAGGATGGGTTGAATGTACTTATGAAAGCATTAAGCATACTGAGCCCCAGATTGATGGGTCTCCATATTACTCTGAGGGTACGAAAATGTGGGTTCCCTTTGTTGAGCCTCCCGGCGGCTGCTAGAGTCGTCGAAAGGGTCATCAACATTTAGGCCCCTAAACCCCAAACCCTAAACCCTAAACCCCTAAACCCCTAAACCCTAAACCCTAGGTTTAGGGTTTAGGGTTTAGGCGCATTCCGTTATCTAAAGGAGCTCGTGCGTGTTCATGGAACCCACAGCGCTACCAATTATTTGGGTATCTGTTGAACGAAAGGCATCAACCAAGCGTGGAGGGCTCATGGTAGATTCCATAAGTGAGGGAGAACCCCAATGCAAACCCTTACCTATTGAAGTGTTTATTGGGACGCCCGCCAAAAACATTGCCTGCAAAACCGACATTCAAAGAGAGGCAAGCTGTCCTGCACCCACAGTATTTTGCAGAATAATCTCTACACAATCCCTTATAAAGACCCACAGAATTCCCTTATCCACCCTCTACATACTAGGAACTCTTTGGACACCCCACTACCTGGTATCCCACTACTATCGAGGCCATATTCCTTCATTCTTTGGGTCTACATGAGTAGTGTTTTTTGGTGGTTACACCCAGTAAGATTATATTCCTTATATGAAATACTATACCCCAAAAGGAGGATATAATCTTACTCTATATTGGGTACCATAGTATCCCCAAATACAATACTACTCACATGGTTAGTAGGGTACCAGGTAGTGAGGGACCCTAAGAGTCCCTAGGACTACAGCCCCCGGGTCCCTAGGCGCCCGGTTTATCAGTGTCAAGCTCCTGGTTCCTTCAGTGTAGAAGGGTTTAGAGTTTTAGGGTTTTAGGGTTTTAGGGTTTAGGGTATTAGGGTTTAGGGAGGAAATCTTGCACCACCCTAAGTAGCGGCGGTAATGGTCATTACAATACGTTGGGGATACAACGCGGTGCGAGATTTCCTCCATCCCCTTAAACCCTGAACTTGTTTGGGGCTAGTAGGGAATAAGGGAATAGGATGTATGGGGATGATGTAGGGATTATATTCCTTGAGATTCCCTACTAACCTTCAACCCTAAACCCTAAACCCTTGAGATTCCCTACTAGCCTTCAACCCTAAACACTAAACCCTAAACCCTACGTAAACCCTAACCTTCAACCCTAAACCCTATGTAGCAACGAAATGTCAGAGCCCAGCGGCTTGGATCTTGTACCGCATTAGGATCCTTAGTCAGCGTGTTGTTGCTTACTTTAAAAAGGGGTTAAAGGGTTAAGGGTTTAGGGTTGAGGGTTTATAGGCTGAAGGGTTTAGGGTTTAGGGTTTACAGGCTTAAGAGTTTAGGGTTTACGGTTTATAGACTTAAGGGTTATAGGGTTTAGGGTTTATAGGCTGAAGGGTTTAGGGTTTAGGGTTAATAGGCTTAAAGGTTTAGGGTTTAGGGTTTATAGGCTTAAGGGTTTAGGGTTTAGGGTGTACTGTAAAAAGGGGTTATAGATTACATGGACCCCCCCCCCCCCAGTAAGAGTGACTATATAGGATAGGGGGATTATATTAGAGTCCTCTTATATTCCTATTGTAACACTGGGGGGGGGGGGAGGGGTCTACCTAAGTTGTAGGACTGGTTATACAAGGTTTTTGAGGCGTATTATACAGGTTATGTAGGGTAAAGGTATATCGCGAAACGCTAGTGTTGTCTAAACAAATTTTTGAGCGCTATAGGATATCACCTAGTTAGAAATTGGGGGCTTCCCCTATCTAGCCGGTTTGAACAGTCCTGGCGCTCGAGGGCTGCCGTTCAACCTTTTGTACCCGCCTCAAAAACAAACATGGATCCCCCGCAAAACAAAAGCAGGCCGCCATCGTTTTGAAACGAGGCTGTACGGGCCCGTATGTCATTCTTGAGGATTTCTACTCGGTTTACGGTTTAGGCCTTGTAGGGTCTAGGGCAATGGTGTTTGGGGCTATGCATCATCCCTGGACCCTCGTCTGATCCAGACTCAAAGAAACAAACCCTAAACCCTCTACCCTAAATCCTGGACCGTATACCCTAAACTCTATACCAAGTGGTTTGCCCACCTAGGCCTTGTACCTAGAGTCCCCCTTGAGTAGATAGAATATTAGGGTTTAGTGTTTAGGGCCTACTGTTAATATGGAATTCCCCAAATGCAAAGTTAAGATCTTCATATCTCCCTTATTCTGTCTACTTAAGGGGGGCTATACAATAGCCCCTTCTTAGGGTACCGAATTATGTTTACAGCACATATACCACACACAAAGATAGGATAAGAGGAACCCAAATAGTGGGTACTGGATGGGTGTTCGGAGGGTCTAGGAGTGTGGGTGTTCTCGGGAAAAACTATATAAGCACAGCCAGGCAGAAAGCGGTGAGCCAGAACACAGTATTCCTAGTTCGGACCAGAAAGCCGCAGACCAGTTCCTACAAAGGCAAGACAGCACAGCAAGACCCCCAAGTAGACAAAAGAACCTCTGAAGCCCGCCTGCACCTGCCCCTCCCCCAGTGCAAAGAAGCCCCATTTAAGGCAATCCTAAACCCTAAACCCTGAGCCCCATTTAAATCCAATCCTGAACAGCCTGCACGGCTTACAAAGAACAAGAATCCCCCGCCTCCAAACGAGAAAAAACATAGAATACAGGGTTTAGGCAACCCAAAAAAGGACAAATGCTCGAGAGTCCAGGTAGTGTAGTGCAGAGCACACAGCAATTGCTTCTGCATTAGGAGGATTCTAGGAACCTCCAACTATCAGGTGACTATATAACGGGATCCGAATTTGGGGGCTGGGTTGGCGATCATCATGTGGAGGAGAGTTGTGCCTTCAAAAGCTCTTTCCCTTGCTCAGAGGAAGTTTTCCGAAATGTGCGAGACTCTAATTACATTCTACCCGCTTTGGGGGTCCTCAAGCTTCTGTCTAGACATACAAAACTAGGTACCCTACCAAACGGGGTTGGGTATGAGGATTCAGGTAGGGAATCCTAAGCCCTAAACCCTAAACCTTAAACCCTAAACCTTAAACCCTGAAAAATCAGATTGGGGTCACTGTGTGGCATTCTACGGGAACAGTTTGACCAACTCCCAATTTCGGGGGTCCAAGAATTAGGGGTCACTTTCGAATCCTTATAAAAAGGTCTATGGCAGATTCAGGTTCATATCACCTATTTATGGAAGCCCCGTGCTCTGTTCAAATTACTTGACCACTTCAGCCGGTCCTTCAACAGCCTCTCCTCCTAGTTTAGAGATGCTCTAGGGTTTAGGGTTTAGGACTTAGGGTCCCTAAACCCTGAACCCAAAACCTTAAACCAGGTTTATTGTTTAAGGCTTAGGGTTTTGGTTTAAGGTTTAGGGTTTAGAGCCTGGACATGCAGATGCAAGGTTTGAACTGGCTCGGGGATTCATACGCCCAAGCTCTAAAGTCCATGCAGGTTTAGGGTTTAGGACTTAGGGTTTAGAGTTTAGAGTTTATGCTTTAGGGTTTAAGGGTATAAGGGTTATTATTCCTTGCCCTACTACCCCCGCCACTATACTACCATAGCACCCTTCTGGGTTCCTCAGAAATTTGCCTTACTTCGGTAGTAGGGGAACCCTATTAATGCCTGCATAGAAGCCATGTCCTCGGCCAGAAAAGTCTCCAGCATCCAGAGAAGACAATGGAAGCCTCCGAGCATTCAGCCAGAACCCGACCCCCTGTCCTTTCAAGGGATTTACGGAACAAAGGTTTACTTCAGAACATGGAAACCACTATTTAGGGTTTAGGGTTCGATTCTATTGCATTCGGGAGGTGCGCAACTGAGACCCTACTTCTGGATACTTCTTTATGGCTGTTGTGACTCCCAGCTTACTGTCGCATGCTCCCCGGAAATTGCTGAGGTCTGCTGTTGCATACTTACATGAGGGCTATAATAATTTAGGCTACATCAGGGGGACCCCTATCTTCCCAAAACTGCCGCATGCCTGTGTTGTCCATGATTCATACATGCATGTCCCACAACAAGGCTTCGTTGCAAAAAGGGTTTGCGGCAAACCGAACAGTTCTGCTGCAACGACGCGGAATGGCCGCCCAAGCCTGTTACGAGCCGAACCGTTTTGATTTGCAGCCAGGTGTCGTCAAAATAGAAAATTAACCTTGTCAACACCAGTGTGTGTTTAGACTGCGAGCACGGTCACTGTACCTGTTCATTGTTACTGCGTCTCAGGCCTATTGGGTGTCAGTCTCTCAGCTCTAGCATGAAGGTATCTACCTCGAGCTCAAGGGGCCTGGGCGATTAACTGGAGTCGCAGCTTCTACAAGATACGGGTTCTAGGGCAAACGGAATTGGGAAAGGATAGCATCAAGGAGGCCACTCCAGCACAACTAGTATAAGTACCAACATCAGGGTTTAGGGTTTAGGGCTTATCATGTTGAGGTCTGTTTGAAGTACCTATGCCAGAATTGTACAGCAAAGTCAGGAACCCTAAACCCTAAACCCTAAACCCAGGACTATTGGTAATTATGTAGGCCCCTAATCAAGGAATCCTGAAGGGTGCCCCGTATGAGGGGGACCCTTAAATCAGGACTCCCCTAGACCTCGCCCAAAAAAGGGTGTTATAGGGTTCAGGGTTTAGGGTTCAGGGTTTAGGCTTTAGGGTTTAAGGACTATTATACTAGATAGTAGTTTCCATTTTCTTGTCCATTATCCCCATCGTCTTTTCCATTATCCCAATATAACCCCTGTATAACCCTAATCCCTTAAACTATGCTTCTCGCAGTCAATGACCCTCCGCGGACCATAAATCCCGTCCAAGCCGCCAAAAAGAAGTCATCGAGCCAAAGCAAGATGTAGCTCAACCAGAGGCAGCTGAGGCCAATCATCACCACCAGTATGATCTCCAAGGCCATCTTAGGAGGCAGCGGCTGCAGGTAGAGGTGGGTGGGGGGAGGCGGAGGAGGCGGTGGTTGGCACTGGCCATGGTAGTATAAGCATCATTACAACTATCGGTAATTTTATTAGTGACTATTTGTATTATTAATCAATATCATGACTGTCACGTTACAGTTATTGTTCTTATTGTAATTAGAAGTATTCTTATTATTATCATTAAACTTTTTGTTTTTCGTAGTCGCAGTGCCATCAATGATCATCCTCCAGCTGGTGTCCCCACCCAATATAGCGAGCCCCAAAGGATTACCATTATGCTTTGCGGTCACGCTAGTGCGGGGAGTGACATAATCTATCTCTGCTAGGACGGGAACAGCAGCCCCACATGGATTTTAGAGATTGACAGGCGCATTTCAGAAAATGTCGCGTTGTCGGGCCACACTTCCTAGATTGCAAGATTGGGTCGGTGGGGTTTTATGAGGCGGCTAGAAGCCATTAGTTGCATAACCGCAATAAGCTGCTGTGGGGGCTCGGGAGTCCAGTATCCATCCTATAATCCTATACTTCTAGAAGGACGATGGAGTATTATCACATGAGCTACTGTCAAGATTTGCTTTACCAAGGATTAAGGGTGGACATAGGGACCCTCTTGTAGTTCAGTATAGCCCTTAATATAGTCCCTAATATGGAACCCATGTCCATTAAATTGGGTAGGAAATATTGACTGTTGCTCACATACGGATAGCGAAATGCAGAGAAGCGTTCAGTTGGCTTGTCAGGAGCCTTCGGCTTGCCGGCCTCATCCACGTTTGCTACACTCCAGCTTTCAAAGCATAGTCAGCAGACCTCTCTTAGGGTTTAGGGTTTAGGGTTTAGGGATTAGGGTTTAGGGTTTAAGGTTTAGGGTTTAGGGATTAGGGTTTATTAGGGTTTAAGGTTTAGGGTTTAGGGATTAGGGTTTAGGGGCTTTCTTGTGCCCTAAACCCCTAAACAAAAGGCAGAGACTGCCCTGATGACATGCCATTTTTGGCCCAAACCTAATTTCCAGGATCTGTCTTTAGCCGACCCAAAAGCGTGACCAAGCGGTTATCTGCTAGCATGCGGGGAGGGCCCCCCTAGTTGCAAGCCTGGTTATAAGTTGACTATAACAGGAATAAGACTGGTTGTAGGTCCCATAAGCTCAAGCTGTGGGATTTGCGGGTTAGGTAACTAGCAGGCCCTACCCCCTGCTAACAATTATCTTGTCGGAAAAATGGATCGGCCAAAATGATTCTAGTATTCTTCGCTACCAGCAGCTCAGACCCTAGACACTCATATGAGCCACAGTCGAAACTCCTAGTATCCCCCTTAGTAAGCCCTATAATACTCCCGTATATAATCCCCTTTGAGGAGCTTAGACTAAAGCTTACAGGGAACGAAGGCTTTAGGGAACCCTGAACGCCCTGAACCCCCAAAATTCAGCATGCCCTTTCCTCAACCTAAAGCCCTGACCCATCCTACCTCCAACCATCCTTCCTGGGTTAGGGTTTAGGGTTTTAGGGTTTGGGGTTTAGGGTTTTAGGGTTTAATTAGGGCTTACGGTTTAAGGTTTTAGGATTCAGGGTTTAGGGTTTTAGGATTTAGGGTTTTAGGGTTTAGGGTTTAGGGTTGCTGAACCGGGACAAAGCTAAGTTACCATAATCAGGAAACCCCATTATGTGCTATTCACCCATACTATGGTAAGTTTAGCCCTGACCTGAACCCTAAACTTTAACCCTTGTAGTACCCTAACCCCCAAACCCTATATACCCGGATTATGGTAATGTAATTTATGGCCTTAAACAGCAACCCTGTCATTGCTTCAGAGATGCCCAGTGGTTCCACTCCAATGCCCACACCTTCGTACATGTTTGTTGAATACCAGGACTCTCCTTGTACTCTTCAAATAAGGGGAATACGGTCCCTTGTCGTGGTATAGACCCCTTTATGTAGGTAGAATATGGCTTTGGGTATCTTATAATAAGGTCCCCATATACCCCACATTCTATCTACTTAAGGGGGACCATATATAGGGGTACATGGAGGGCCTAGCTACATGACCCGGGGGATCCAAGTCTGTCAATGTTACCTACTTTGGGATAAAGTTCCTAAACCCTTAACCCTAAAAGGGTTCTAGACCCTAAACACCAAGATCCTAAACCCTAAATCCTAACCCTAAGATCCTACATTTTGTTTACTTTGGGCTACAGTTGGATCCTTAGGGTAGGGATTGTTCAGAAGCGACGGTCTTCCTTTGTGGGTGGTTTGGAGGCGTTACATATATTGCTTACAATTTCAGAATAGGCTTTAGGCTTTAGGGTCTAGGGTGAAGCTTGTGTGAATGAACCAATTTCGTGTAAAGATCACTGAGGCGGATGGCGGTCGTGTTGTAGAAATACTGTTTTACACGGCCTGTTCGTGTTTGTATATGGGTTTCAGAAACAGGCCACTTAGCGCCCCGATAAAACAAAGGTTTAAGTTGTAGCACCTACGATAGGGATGAGCAGTAAGACCGGCGCGCCAACCTTAAACCCGAAAGCAGATACCCTAAACCTGAGGCGAAAGTTGGGTCCCAAACTCCGTGGCCCTCTGTCACACTTACAAAGAACCCTCAGGGGTCCAAGTACCCAGCAAAAAAGCTTTAGGGTACGCAAAACCCAAATATTTTGGTACTTGGACCCTTAGAGGAACAGAATAGACACCCTAAACCCTAAACCCTGTAAGTTTGATGAAAGTTGGGTGTGCCTTGTAGGAGACGTCTGAGCGCCGGAAATCTGAAAACCTGGGGCTAGGAGTGAAAGATTCAGGATACTACTATTCAGGGTTTAGGGTCTAGGGGTTAGGGTCTAAACTCCTTAAAGCGGGTTATAAAGGGGATTATATAGGGGAGTGTTATAGGAGATATTAAGGGGGATGGAGTTAAGACTATAGCTCCTATGAGTATGCATGTTCGACTATAGCTCATATGCGGGCCAGGAAAAGAGCCAGGGGCCAGCTTGGAAGCTCCGGCCAGTTGTTGGGTTTAGGGTTTAGGGTTGTTGGCTTTAGGGTTGTTGGGTCTAGGATTTAGGGTTAAGGATCTAGGGTTTAGGGTATAGGGTTCTTGGGTTTAGGGTTGTTGGGTTGTTCGGTTTAGGGTTTAGGGTTTTTTGGTTTAGGATTTAAGGTTCAGGGTTTAGGGTTGTTGGGTTTAGGGTTGTTGGGTTTAGGGTTTGGGATTTAGGGTTTAGGCAGTTCAGGACATCGGAGTTCCGCTATCTTGTTTGCAAACTCTAAACCCCACATGTCCTCATATACCTGTCATATCCCTATACATCCAAAAGCATCACCGTATATTCCTGCGTAGCGTCTGTAACCCCTCTGCTGGGTCTGTATTGACTTTAGAGATCGTCAGGGCTGCAAGGGTGTAGGGTTTAGGGGCTTTTAGTGGGAGGTTCTTGGGTAATCATAACCCAGTTAGGACCATGTAAGGGGACTTAGGGGGCTTCTGATTGGGTTTTCGGAAGTGATTAAAGCCACTTTGAACCATAATGGAGGACATAGGGGGCTCATGACTGGGTTCTAAGCGCAAATATTTAGGGTTTAGGGTTTAGGGTAGGTTCAAATTACCCATGGACCTCTTTCTGGGATGCAGACGTCTTTGTCACAGGCCCCTGAAACCCAGCCTGAGCTGCGTGCCCTCCATCCCCTCAAGCCGCAAACAGCTCCCGTTTGGGATATGACGACAACTACAACCTTACGTTTCATATCGGGTTTAGGGTTTAGGGTGTCGTGTTTGGTAAAAAAAACACGGGTTATTTCCAATAATGACACAGTAAAACAGAAATTCCTAATCTCCAAACACGAAGCAGTGGCACTGCGTGGAGCAAGGAATCGCCCGGCAGTAGCAAAGACTACAACAAGTACTCTAATGAACAAGAGTTGTTTTTTTTGTTGTTTGTCGTGTGTTTTGGGTGGTTATAGGAAGGAACATGCATATATAGATAAACAAAAGGGTGTATATATATAGAAATAGACACACATATATATATATGTGTGTATAACTTTTGGGGCTAGATAAGGGACCTATATTGTTGGATTCTGCTACGGTGCGGAGAGCCAGATCGGAAAGACGTTGGAAAATGAAATAAGAGCTGTGTCTAAGCATACGGGAAAATGTCTCTATATTATAAAACCTATATAATACATTCCCGGGTCAACCCTTTAGGTACCTATAATAGGAGTATAAGGGAATTCCAAAGGGTTAAGGGTCTAAGGTCCGAGCTAAGTCCCAAGGAGTCTTATAACACCTACAGCAGGTATATTAAACCCCCCAAAAATAATTCCTGGCCGTTGTATCATATGCACAGCACATCAAAAAGAGCCCACATGCTACACAAAAATCTGTCTACTAGGGTGATTTTTACCAGGTACAACCTAAACCCTATGAGAGGGGACTGTTGTGGCGTGT